CATAAATTTAAGAATAATTATAGGTTCACATTGACTAGTACTAAGTATAATTTTTCTCTACAGTAAAATTTAATTTGATATCAACAGTTAGTAACAAATTTAAGAGACTTTGCTACAATTTTATTGTCATTAATTCTTTTATGTCTTCTAGATGAAAGGGGAGTTAATATTAATTATAGCTAATATTCCATTTATCAAAATGAACAAAACTTGTAAGGGGATGAATATTTTACTTGTCTTTAAAATATGTTTAAATTCCTTTTTATATTAATTGTTTAAATGTTGATAGTTTGTGCTGTAAGAGAACTTCACAAATTGAGAGAGTGTGACCATGTTTGTAATAATTTCCCCCCTCCCTATACAGTTAATTAAAATTGAATACACTGGTGGCAGAAATTAAGATAACAGCTATTTAAAAAAAAGTTTTATTAATTTTTTTAAGTAAAGTCAAGTAAAAAGTGGTGGTTGATAGTTCAATATTGTCACATACTCCGACAATATTCACCTTTGCTACACAAAAATATGCAAATTTTTGCACCAGTTCTTTCGGCAAATGTAGAAAGTGTGTGTGTGTGGGGGGGTGCTTCAGATTCTAATTTCAAGGATTCTGTAAGTTGTTGGATAAAGTTTTCACATGTGAAAGATGTAATATGCTATTGAGAAAGCATTTGTTACATTATGAAAATTAGCTTTTAATTGGGAAAATGGAAAGAGAACATGCAAGTATCTAAAGACTTAAAAAAAGCCGAAAAGCGTATGTCGGGAATCTGGAAACATAAGACACTAATGATGCATGCAGACAACAAGGGCAAAGTTCAAAAGTGCCACAACAAATTCTCGTGACTATTATATGGCAATGATTACTAAAAGAAGTAGACTTAAAAAGCTTGACTATCCATATGTACTGTGGCAGCCTGTAAGAAGGGAAACCCATAATTTGTGTCCCAATAACTTGGGCTGCCAAACATACTCTGTTGCAGTAATGCGGAGATCATTGAGATTGGAATGTTGAAAACTGGACCTAAGTTTTCTAGTTTTTGTTTGCAGAGTGATTCTAGGCTTTTTAGAATCTGGAGGCAGCAAACTGCATGCAATAAGTCTGAAAACATCCTTGAAAAGCATAAGGTACAAAGGTGGTAGAATCATGTTATGGGTGGGCATCTCCTGATGAACAATAATACCGATCCTCATCCTTGCTGCTCTAGTGATTGATTAGCTTGAGGGATAAGGAATATAGCAGATAGAGAGGCCCACAGGTTCTTTGGATTTACATAGCATCTGTGGAAGGAAGTAGAATGGCAGTTTGTGTCATTGCAGCCCCATTCCTACCTTGCACTCTCTCATCATGAATACACTTCATTAACACAAGAATTCCTAGACAGTCTATAATATACAGCATAAAAAATCACTGTAAAGTTTACATTTTGGTCAGGGCTGACCATATCTTGAAGAAGTAACTACAGAGTCATGAAAAGGTTTAAATAATTTTTTTAAAAAACAAAATTTAGAATATAAACATACTTTCTTGTGCAACAAACTATATTAGTCATAGGTTGTGGTGGTGCAACTTAATAGAACAGGCAACTTTAAGTTGAATATGAAACTGTAGTCTAGGACTACACAATTAAATACTTACTAGAAGCTGGGCTCAGTAATTTTGCCAGTTTGTCAAAACCAAAATGTTGGCAGTGGTAGAACACAAAGCTGAACAATGGCAGCTATCACAGAAGGCAGGAAACTAACGCCATAGTGTGTACACAAAGCCAGAAACACTCTCTGTCTTAAAATCCCAAAACTCAGTTTAAATACTACTTGCTAATTTGCATTCTGGTGAGGAAACAAAAAGGAGAAGTCATAATAAAGGCTGAAATCATAAAAGCTGGTTAATTTAAAGTACCTTACACATTACCTTACAAAGTAATTTACCTTACACATGTACAGTGTTCTTATTTGAATTTTGTTTTTACAGAAATAGTGAAATTCTGCATTTTAAAAATACGTCAGGCAGCACAAAATAAAGACCGTATGCAGTTTTTCTTACTCTTAAGTTGAAAAATCATTCAGTTAATGAGTTATTATAGTTTTTCCTTTAATTTCTATCACCACTGTATTGCAAATCTACTTCTAATGATTATTACCATGGAAATTGAAGACTGCCAGCAAAACTAATTTTGAGAAATAACATAATTCATGTTCACTAAGAATTTTAAAATTGGCTTTACATGATGTATCCCAAAAAGATTCCTAGTTTAAAAAAAAATTGTAAGTATGCTTTAATATGCAATAAATATGCCTTAACAACTTTCTGTAACACTAAAAAATATCCAATTTTGAATGTGAATTCTCTGTTTCTTGTTGTAGTGCTATTCTTATTGCTTTGTAGATATTTTTAAAAGTGCTTTTAATATTGTGTGTAGCTATCATTGCATATTTCCCTCTGCATAGCTTTTGTAATTTGCATTTGAATTTTTGATCTGTGGCTGGAATAACTGAATATTGCTCCAGAATTTTACATGCTTTGATACTTTTTAAACCATATCCTACATGTAATTGTAATGGTTAGAAATTCTTGTTCTTTTACTGTTGTTTAATTCTAAATCATTGATGTTTACCTAAAATATGCTTCCTTTTTTTAATGCTGTATTTTTTGTATCTACACACACACATACAAGAAAAAAGAAAGAGAAATATATAAATATAATACTTTAATGTTCCTTCAACTTTTTCATTTATTTCCTCTAAAAACTTGGTTCTCAGTTTTCTATTTTAATTTTTTGTTAAAACTACTCAAGATTGATTTCATTTACTCCCAAATAATAATTGTTTATTAACCCCATTATCATTAATAAACATTCCAAACTCTAAAATTTGAAACATTGTGTTTTAATGATATTTTTGTAATACTATATGAAGTCTTTAATATGCCAAATTGATTAGGGCATCAAAAAAAAAAAAAAAAAAAAAAAAAAAAAAAAAAAAAAAAACTCCTCTCTAAATCTATAAGTCTTGTTTTTTTTGTGTGGTTGTGTGTGTGGGGGGGGGGGATATTGAATTAGAAAAAGTTTGAGGTACTTTCTTACTTGTGGCATTTCGTCACCAATATTTTATGAACTAAATAAATTATTAATTAAATTGTTTAATATAAAAATCTGAAATTGTTATTGACAGAAAAAATTTTAAATTAAGTAAATAACTACATACTGTTTTGCTTGCATTATTATTGTTTTTATCTTTAAATAAATATTCTGTTTAAATTAGTTATAGGTATTTAAATGCTATAGAAGTGTTTAAATTAAAAAATTGACAGTCATCATTTTCACATTCAGTACTTAATATAAGAATACTTTTGGAATATGTTTAAGATTAGCTTTTGCATTTGCTTTCATTCTCTCTTGAATGGTAATTTTTATGATATCAAAACTGTACTAGTATATATATTTTTTTCTTTTTCTTAAAAATAAATAAATGAAATGCTAGTGTAAGTATCTGCTAATACCTCTTAATTGGTTAAAAATTTCTAAAATTTGAAATTATTAACATTTTGGAAAATTTTATTGTAAATTTTTAAATCCACTGTATACAAATGCATGCATAGAAGTCTCTTCAATCATATAAAAGTAAATTTTATATGATTGAATAAAAATTGCTACATGTAAACAGCTTTAGAACTAGGAACTAAAATACTTTGCCATGCTAAAATGTATGAGAGCTTTGTATCGTAATTAGACTGAGCTCTTGATTATTTATGCCATTTAATGTATTGATATCCATGGATAACCAGAAAATGTTGATAATCAAAGAGCCCTGAAAGTTGTAATTAATGCTCAAGTACCATAAAAAATTAATTCGTTAATAATTTTAAATGAATGATGTAAACTACTCAGTTTAAAATGTACTTTAAGGCGACATACATTCAGACAATGACACAACTACTGCATATGATATAAAGTTCAATTCAGTGTATTTAGCCATATAATCTTAACAACTTTTGTAAACATCAGAATGCCATCATTGCTTTTCCATCTTCATTTCTTCATTGTATCTATCTGTTTGTGCTTTTGAATTACTACATGCAAAATGTTTCGCTTTAATAAAATATCATTGCATTGCTTTCATTATTCTTATCTTTTTCCATTTTTACTTTTGACTCTTTTCACATACATTTTCAGTCACTTAAATCCCAGAAATAATTTTAGTGAAATATTAATCTGTTTCTTCTGCAACTATAGAATTTCTTGCTGAGTAATAACAGGGCTTAGTTTTTTTAGCTGTGAATCAGGCTTGAATTTTTACTTTCATTCCAAGCCTTAGCAGTAAATTTTTCAGACATAAAAAATCATTGTTTCTTTTAAAATACCACAAGTTTTTGTTCTTCAAACACTATTCTGTGATTTTTGGCAAAATAATGCATGATTAATTCACATATGGAGATATGGGATTTCAGTGTACTTTTATACATTTATAATTCTGTGGGCATCCTTACGTAGGAAAAAAATATAGAAGGTTTACTCCCCAAATGCATTTTTATGGCAAAATTTGTATAATCACAAGATTCATATATAGAAATTTGCATTGTAATGTCCTTGGCAAAGGTCTTGGTTTTTGAGTTTTCTGAAGATACCTACTAGAATCAAGTTTTTTAGAAGAATGACCTGTTTCCTTTCTTTCAAGAAAGCAAGGTGTTTTAAAGTGTATATACTTATTTATTCTCTTTGGATATGTCTGTGTCTAGTTTTGTATCTAGTCGTATGTAAACGTAATTATTGGTGATTATTTTAAATATGCTTAAGCAAGTGCATTTCTTGTATACTCAATGTTATTTATAATTCTTACTATTATAAGAAAAGTGTCATGTTGGGAATGCTAGATGTGTACTTGTATACTGGTAAAAAAACTATTCCAGCCACATTTCATGAATTTTTTTTTTTAAATATTATTTTTTTTTTTAAAATCCTCCTGAAGCTTGTTCATGCTTTGAAGCTTTACCCCTCTTTCTGTAGCATGTGATGGAGACGCTGGTGGCCGACCAGAGTGCCACGGTCGAGACCTCTCAGGCGGGCGGGGATCAGTCGTCTACTGTAGGTAGTGGCACTGTTGGCCAGAACGACAGTGGACCACGAACTTCAGGAGCCACGGCACAGGCTAGGGCCAATGGAACTGTGGTCCTTGCATCCCCTGCCCAAGTAAAGCATGTGGGTACCAAACCTCTTTAAATGCATTTTAAAAAATCACATCTTTTTGTTCTCTGTCATGCATAATGCTTTGCTCCTTGCTCCGTCCTGTCTCTAATAAAAATTTAATTTACAGACTAAATGGCCAAAAGTTATATATGCTGTAATTTATATATAATATGCAATCTATGCACAAAGTTAGGAATTGCAGTATATAGGTTAGTGGTATAATATTTTCAAGTAAAAATTTGAATGTAGGTTATTTATTTAAATAATATTTGATGATATTTATTAAATGCATGTACTGCTAAATTTTAATGGTTATCTTTAGAAAAATTAATAATATTTAGTGTTTATTTTTCTATGGAAAGTAGCTATATTATAGATTAATGTTTCTAGAATTTCATTTACCATGTATTCTCTTTTAAAGAAAGATAATTGCATAAGACAGTATATAGCTTAAAATTCTGAAATTTCATTATCAATTCATTTCATTAAGTTTGTGCCAAACTGTTTGAAATGTAACAGCCAAGCTTAGACTGACTACATTAAGTATCACAGTGACTTATTGCCAGCAAATTAGCAGTAATTTAAAGAACGAGCTTAATGACTATTTTTTTAACCATTACTTTTGGTGTTGCAAACTTAAAATGAATTACAACATAATGATTTCTAGGTTGCGGAATATTTAAAGACTTCTCTAAAGCAGTTAATTGTTAAATTTTCATATTCAAAACAAATAGACATTTGAAAATAATAAGTATTGCAAATCAAACTCAAATCTCACTTATTAAGTTCTATAAACACATGGTCAGTTACATCATTGTCAGGAAAAATTAAAAGCAGCTAGCAAATTGCTTGATTGCAAATCTTCACATTGAAAGTTATAGTTAAGATTCAACCTAATTAAAACTTCTTCCCTACATAGTTAAACTATGCAAGAACTACTAGATTGAAAAAAAGTCTCTTGAAAAAAGAAGAGACTAAAAAAATGCAGGAGCTAGAATGAACTGCTAGTAAATTTCAAAATATTTTGGTGCACTGAAATTATTGTAAACATAAGATGTTTTCTGAGGTAATGAGTCCATGAAGCTTTTAACTTAATTTAAATGATTTTTATATATTTAATTTGAAATTTTATATATTTATAAGGAGAGTTGATTTTTTTTTTATCTTGTGTTCCAGGTAGTTCTCTTTTACGATTAAAGGGGAAGAAATTGTTATTCTGTTTTCATTCGGTTTTTGTGAAAGCAAAAGTTAATAGATGTTTAATTAATCAAAATTTTAAAAAAGTAATACTTCTTTGAAATTAAATGAGAAATGTTAGTAGAGGTTTGGTAGTGTCATGATTAAATTTATGATTTCAATGTCCTCATAAAATGTAGTTTTCATCAGTCAGGTTTAAATTTATATTGTAATTCAGCAAAGGTTCTTAATAAGGATGAAATACTATGGGAATTTTTTTCCTTGCTGAAATATGCATTTTTCATCTCTCCCTCCCCCTTCATTGTGGATCATCCATTGTTTTATTTGCAGACATCTAGGGATCTACAGATGATACGTTGAGAAGAAACTGTCTAGTCTAGATAAATAAAAGTGTAATAACTGTCATGTACAAGTATAATGTTTGTGTAATAATAAATTGTATCAACATATGTATATATGCTGGAATACAAATTTTACAGCAGGATAGAAATAAACACTCTTTTCATCTTCTTTTGGCAAAACAATTTTACAAATAACATACTGCACAAAGTCCAGTCTGAGATTCTATATCATTGGAGCCTCAGCAATTCAGGATTTTAGGTCATGACTTTAAATCTAAGAAGATGACATGTAGGTAAGTACTGGCTGTAGCAAAGCTAGCACCTGAGCACAGAGGTGTAGCTAAAGTTTTCAGTGCCTGGGGACAACTGAAGATTTTGCACCCCTTTCTCTGTGCCAAGAATGGAAAAATCATTCTAAAATTTTGTAACATCAATTTGGTGCCCCCTGAAAGCTGCGCCCCGAGACAAATGCCCCACCCTAGCTACGCCACTGCCTGTGCATCCGTCTAGGCATATTAGTTAATACCAGACTTTACTCAGTGCTAAGCTTGTGTCCCAGATGGAATTCCAAGGAAGAAACCTCAGGGAGGGTCAGTCCGAGAGCCTTCCATACCTCTTTCCATGTCACCATTGCAAGAGAATTTCAGCTCACCATGTATTTTGAGGGGCTTCCTTGCCACACAGATACTATAAGCTTATAAACATCTATGTTTCCTGTGGAATTCGATCCTGGATGCTTTTGTATTTCAGTCTATGACACTAACCATTATCTTGTTTGGGTACCATGACATGTAGGCATAGCAACATTCATGCTTTGCTTATTGTGTAGTTGCTAGCCTAGAAACAGAGCCGCTGAGACCACACCAGGCAGCAAAAATTTTTTAATTTAGAACTCACAGAGGTTGCATGGAGCAGCAAAATTCTTACTGTCAGCACTGTCTCTGCTCCCAACATAACCTCTCAAGGGCCAAAATTTGATGCTAGCCATCCTCAGTACAATCACAAATCAGTGTATTGTTATTTGCTACAATGGGACTCTGTAATAAGCAGGTGTTTGAAAATGACATGCAGGAATCTCAGTTGTTGGGGAAAAAAAAAAAAAAAATTGCATTTATTGTGCATCTTCTTCTGTTTGCTAACTATTATATTCTCCATTCTCGAATTTTATATGAGATGGGTGGAATTTTTTTTAATTATATAATCTCATTTATTTATTTATATATGTTTTAGCTGGTTGTTCCATATGTCCAAATATATTAGATTGTTCTGAATACTGAATGTCAGATTTTGGACTTTGTATTGTATACTGGTAGGGAAGATTAAAGGAAAAATATAAAAAGGTACTTGATATTAATTCAGATGAGAAAAGTCCGATCAAAGGTAGCTAGTTAGTAGCTGAGGTCAACATTATCTCGAGTCCAATGGTGTAATTATCTAATTGCATTGTAATGTTGTGATAATATGGTCTATGTAATCTTCATGACACAAAAATGAATGTTTTTGAGCCCATCCTGGAAGGGACTGCAAGGAGATGTTTCAGATTTTAATTTCAAAGATTTTACAGGTAATTTGGATAAGATTTTCACATGTGGAAAGTGGAATATGTTTATGAGAAGCCATTTCACAGATTGTGAGAAATGGCATATGATTGGGAGAATAGAAGGAGAACAAATATTGGCATGGTTTGCCTGAAGTAGCCAAAAGGATGATATCAAGAATCTAAATGTGGTTTAAAGACACGAGGTGATGTGTAAAAATAACTAGGTCAAGATCAAAAAGTGCTACTGTAGTTTCCCATTATTCGCAGTTATTGTTTAAAAAAAAAAAAAAAAAAAAAAAAAAGAGACATTTGCCAATAGCCCAAATTATGAGGGAGCTAGTTTGCTACAGCTATAGGAATTTGACTTATACCACATATACCATGAATAACAAACTGCATAAAAGAGATCTGTATGCAGGATAACTTGATTTGTGTCCTATTAAATCAGGCTGTGAAATGTGTCCATTAGCAATGGTGTACAGATCATTGAGATTTCATGGACTGAGGTCAGGTTTTCTTTAATGAAAACTCTCTTAAAATTTTTAGAATTCAAGGTGCACCAGGCAGCAGAATTTAGGGCTTGCAAAAATTGACTGGATAGTAAAATTCATTTAGCTGGCTCTGAGCAGGCATCATTTTTAATGGCCACACTGACTAACACATTTTTATTTATGCAGCTGTGAATGCTGGAATATACAGAGATGAGGTTTCTGATCCTTATAGCAAGTTAATGAAGATGTCGTCAGAAAATTCCTAAACTTGTAATAAAATAAATAAATAAGTAAGTCTCATTTACCTGTCATTACCAAGTCTTTTATTTTCACTGCCCTTGTCCTGAATCATGAGTCATGTTACGATCCTTACTGATACAAGCATTTTATTAACACAATATTTGCAGAAAAAAAATTGAATATTTCAGTGAATAATTACATTACTGTCAAAAAAATAATTACAGCTATCTGTTATAATGAAAAGTAATAAATTAGCTACTTGGTGACATAAGGTCTAATCACAGTAATGGTGCCTTAGATTATTTTCTTCCTGATGCCAAAACTCCAAAGATAAAAAAATCATGAAGGTAGAATGGCCCACCACCTGGTGCCCGAGAATTGAACATCCTTCCACCTTTGATTTTGGCCATCAGGATTCAAAATCAAGCAGAAAATAAAACATTAGTAAATATTTACATTTTCCATCTTATCTGGATCAGAAAGTACAGTTTCTTTAATTCCTTGTAAAAACATTCTAGGAATCAAGGGAACCATGTCTCAGCATCTTGGGAGATAGTAGTCAGGGGTCAAGAGTTCATCAAGCCTTCAATATCACAAGTAACCATATAGAGTTCTTCAAAATCTCTGGCTGTTTGTCCCAGTACTCTTCTTAAAATTTGTTTTGTGCAGCCAGTTAATCGCTCCCATCAGTCACCCCACCATGGTGCAGCTCGAGGGTTGAATTTCCATCTTATGTTCTTTACAAGCTTTGTTATGGATTTTTGCATGTGTAAGATCAGTAAATAACTTTGAAGCTCCACAAAAATTGTGCGTTGATCACTGCATATAACAAAATGCGTATTTCTTCTCGCAGTAAATTTCCTTAGAGTTTGCAAAAGTGCTTCTGATGACAGTGATGTTAATAGTTTGCGGTGAATCGCTCTTTAAACTTCACAGGTGTACAGCATAATCCAACATTTTCCTCCGTATTTCAAGTGTAAGGGACAGCTAGATTGACACTGGTAACTTTGAATGACACTGTGTCTCGAATTCGATCTTCTGACAAAGCATGGGGTTCTGGTTGAACTAAGTTCATGATAAATCTAAGTCCTTCTTTATCCGCCACTGGATGTAATCTCTGCAAATGACCATCAGTTCCTTTAGGAAACTCTTCCCTTTGAACTATTTTCATCAAGACTATTTCAGCGTGCTTTGATTCTTTGTTGTGAAGCACAAGCTTGCACCAGTTGACATTTTGGACCAAAATCATTTTCTCGTCAAAGGTCGAAATGAGAAATTAGTATTCAATCAGAGCTACTCAGTATTCTTCTAGGAATTCTGATATCTTGTAAAAACTTTAATTCATTTTTGCATTTTAGGAATTTGTTCTTCAGATCACTGGGTAGTTAGTTAGTATCCATGACAATTTTCTTTGCCAGCATTCTTGAATTAAGATTTTTGGAATTAAAATCTTAGGGCAAAGAAAACCTATAGGATCGAATATCTGACTAACTAAAAACATAATAATTCTGCTGTTCAAAGTTACTTTTCCATAATTATTAAATTTCAAATTGCAGTATAGAATGTTCTCCAGAATGTTCCAGTTTAATCCCAAAATAGAGACAGTTTCTTCTGGAACTCCTAATGTATCTGGATGCAAACCATTAACTATTTTACTCCTAAGATCAAAAGACCTGAGAACATGATCTTGTTTGATTCTTTAATAAGACTAATCACTTCTTCTTCCAAATCGCAACTAGCAATGCAGTTATCAACATACATAGACTTCTTAAGTTTGGAAGCTGTTCTTTTGCAAGTAGTTGGGAATATTACTTTGGTAGTTCAGAATAGCTCCGTAGAGGAATGGACTGGAGTTTACCCCAAAAACTATTTGACAATATCTAAAAATTTTCCTTTTGTTAGGATCATCTTCCTCTCACCACAGAAATCTGAAAAGTCGCAATCTGCTTCATTCATTACAATTTGCGAAAAAGCTTTCCTAATGCCAGCAGTCATTCGATAGTTATTCAAACAAAGCTTAGGCAAAACACTGGGAATTAGTTCAATGTAGTTTGAGCCTTTAGATAGACTTAAGTGAGAAGCTACTGTTTTCTTCCATGGAAGCATTGAAAACGGGTCAAATTGTCATTGTTGAGTACTCTATGTGGCAGGTAGTGATAGCTTGTTTTCTCTAACTCATCGGGTTGCACTTCTTTGATCATTTTCTCTCTAAGCCATTTTTTCAAAACTTCTTCATAATCTTCAGTTAAGCCTTTATTTTTAGAGCATATGGGTTAACATCAGTAATAATACAAGCATTTCCTGATAATGAAATTGTTTCCAAAAATTCCTCTGCATTTAATTTGCTACCTGCTAAGTATAATCATATGCAGTAAATAGTGGTTCCTATTTTAACATCAAAGAATTTATTGAATTTTGTTTTATTCTGATACTTCTTGTATAAGAGTATCTCAATAAAAAAAAAGTGCAGTTATTTTTTTTCATAACCATATAAACTTAAAAATCTTGTGTTTTTAAGTGTGCATATTTCTGTTAAGGGATCATTTAAAAAATATACATTTTTTCATATTTTACACTAGGTGTTTTCTTCTTCATCACAGAATACCCAGACAATTGCTGTCCCTCAAGCTGGAGGAGGAGTATCTATTGTTCATGTTGCTATTCCTAATCAACCTGTGCATGTGCAGTCGGTTATTCAACCTGGACCTAACCAACAGTCTGTGATACAAGCACCAGGTGGTGCTACACTGCAATCCGTTCAGGTAACATATTTATATTTTTTTACTATAGCTAATTAGATACATTATGCCAGTATTTTTAGTAAATTATCTGTTGAACAGAGAAATTGATAGTGAGCACATAATGAAAAATGATGCATCTGTTGGATAAAAGCTGTTGGTATTTGGAAAGCAATGAACAATTTTGCAATATATTTACTATAGTAGTTTAAAGTTATCAAACTAAATAGTGAAATTAGTTAGCAATAACATTTGATCCAAAGTTAATGGTGATATCATGTTAATGGTGATCTGTATTATTTAATATCATAATTATAAACACTATGTAATAAATGAGTAAAACAATACTTTCATATAAAATGAATGGAAGTTTTAATAATGCAGTAGATTTTTTTTATTTTCATATATATATATATATATAATCAAAAGTAAAATTTTAGAACATTCAAAAATAATTTTTTACAATTTTAATTATTTAATTAAAGTTATGATTTTGTAGCCACTTTTGGTTTATGTCTTCCATATTCAAAAGTTTCTGTAACAAGCTGACTTCCTTTTCAGTTCAAGTTAATTATTTTGTAAAAATTTATTGATTTCATTTTTATTTTCACGTATACTTTTCATGTATTTTAACGATTATCCTTTTTTTCCTTGGTCTTTGGAAGTGATAAATTTATTTATGTAATTTTAATATGTATATAGAGAGAGAACTAAGAAATGAAAGCTATAAGTTTGAAAAAGCCTATAGCTAAACCATGTGCTGAAAGTTACTGTAAGTTTGGCAATAAAAATCTAAATATAAGTATATAAATAGAATTTAAATTCATATTCCATTGAAACTGTAAAATAAAATCCCTCTCCCCGAAAAAAGAACAAAGCAGTGAAAAAATTACTGCAGTAAACTGAGAAAGTGATACAAAGGCTCTGAGCTGACCAATGCAAAATTTAGTAAAGCCGAAATTTGTTAAATAAAAAGTTAGGAAATCTTAAATTGTACATTTATTTCCCAAATGCAGTATGCTATGAATGTGTTGATATTGGCTAAGTAAATGTTTATGTTTATAATTTTAACAATTTCTTTATAATTTTATCCAAGAGCTGATTTTTTTCACACTCATATGCTTTACTTTGGAGTATAAACTTATATTCTTTTTATGATGCTTTAGCAAACATTCCATTGATTTTATTATATTGAGATCTTTTTATTCTCTGTTGAAATTTATTAAAAGGTTAAGTATCTGGACTCTTGACAAACTTATTTTAAGTGAATATAAATTAAGTAGAAAAAAATTAATACTTATAAAAGAGGTAATGTTATTTGTGACTGGATAAGTTAATGTCAGCAATTAGCATTTCATTGCTCATTGTAAACTCAACAATCCTGTTTAGATATTAATAATAAAAACCAAATTGTTATTAATAATGAAAACTGAAACTGATATATTTAATTCAACCATTTGCAATTGTTATGAAAAGCATGTATCCCATCACAAATTAATGTAATAAAATGAAATATAGTTCAAACTGTAAAAAATGCTGAATGACATACAATGTTTAGGAACTGTATAATAAATTTGTTTGTAATAGTTGAATATGTCCATCTGCATGTTTTTTCAAAATTTTTTTTTTTTTTTTATTTAGGTACTGATCATGTGAATTTTGTGTCATAATGTACTGTAACAGAATTATAACTAGTAATTAATATAATTTTAATAATAAGAAACATAATTGTTATGTGAACTTCAAAAATGTTAATAATAATTCTTATTGATAACTTAGAACAATTTTCAACAGCTGCCAAAGAACGTGATTTTGTTAAACAAGCTCACTACCCCAGGATCTGTGATTCACAGCACTGATGGTGATGCCAGTGTTCATCCTGTACAGGTTAGTATTTTTAACATCGTTAAGTGAAATCTTTAAAAAGTATATAATTTTGCATAAAATATAGATCATATTAATTTATCAGTTACAGTTGTATTGAACTTTAAATGAGAAAATATGTTATGAATAAAAAATAAGGAAATAACAGATAACTGCTTGTTTTTGTTATAAAATTAATATATTGATGGTCATTATAAAAGTACAAGCTCCTGGCATAATATACACTCTGTAATATAAAAAGGCGAAGCAGGAGTCATCCGAATGGGATGAAAATAAGTTGATGAACATGCAATGAAGATGAGATGCTAACAGTATCATAGGAATTAATTGTTTTATTCAGGAAATATAGCTGCAGAAACAAAAAGTTAAAGAGTCAATGCTAGTAAGATAATGGCTTGCATCAGGCATGTCTGGCTCTGCATTGACTCATTGAGTTGGTGGATCTTCTCCAGCAAGATTCTTTAAACATGTTCCAGCTCGTGAATTAGATCAGTGCAATCCAAGGACACTTGAAGACACTTGCTCAGCACAGCCAAAACATTCTGTATTAGGGAAAGATGTGCCAATTGTGCTAACTGAGGAAGTGTTGAAAAAGCATGAACACATACAGTAGAAAGATGTACGATGTGCGGCCGAAGATTATCCTGTTTATATGTATGGGTTAGTGAAAGGAAAGGTAAGACTTTATAGAATCTTTTCGATGTACTGCTATGCTATAAAGAGCATCATGAATGACAACCAAAAGCGTCTGCCTATTAAATGAAAAGGCCCTCTAAACCATAAATCCCGATTGTCAGGCGGCGTGACACATGATACTTAGATGATTATCCCACAACTGTCCTGAACATCTCCAGACAAGTCTTCATTGGTCATTGGGACTTAATTCAAAGCAGGACTCATTACTGAAAACGATTCTACTTCAGTCCATGAGATCCCAGAATGAATGTGCCCAGCACCACTGCAGACGTACTTGGCAATGTGCATCAGTGAAGGGCAGTTGGCATAATGGCCATCCTCCATTATGTCTGCTCCCATTTGCTGAGTTGTCTATTCATCATATAGGTCAGCGCAATCACTGGTGTCCTGGTTATACATGGGATTGTTAATAAGAACCATCAGGGACTGTGAGCACCCAATCAGATGATCACTCTTTCCTCAATTCGTCTTTGCTCTTAGTCGACCGCTTCCTTCTTGACACTGTGTATAGCCTGTGGTTCACTCATTCTAGCCAACATCATCAAATGGTAGCATTACTTGGACCCATATGTCGAGTGATGCTGCAATTTGGCCACCCTGCTTCCTTTAGTCTAATTGCACATCCTCTCTCAAATGGTGACATCTGCTCATACTGTTTGCGAACCCATCTGTGAGGCCATGTTGCTAGAGACCATATGGGTTGATAAAACCACATCTGCAAGGAAGTTAGAGCTTAGCATTATAATGTCCTTTGCTTTATACACCATCTGAATGCTCTCTTGCAATGTGATGGAGCTTTAGCTAGTCAGTCACTGGTCATCAAATGTTTATCATTTGCATATTCTACCATTAGGTATGGTCATATGCAATTTCATTCCATTTGAATAACTCCTTCTTGGTTTTTTTATGTCAAAGAGTGTACATGAGAAGGCAAGTATTTAAGAAAATCCCATTCCATTCAGTGTGCAACAAAGTTTGATAAAACAAACAACTAAATAAATAACATTCTAGTATGTTTCTTGTAAAACTTTCTTGTATATCTCAGGAGACATAGTATGGTTTCTGAAAATGCCTCATTTAATGCATATCTCATGACTTCCATGCATCACATGTAAAGCGTAAGCATTTTTACTTTTTATGAAAAGACTAGTGAATACTAATTTTTACACTTACCTAGTTTTTGTGATCATTTATCATTCTTTTATATTATGACTTGTTGAAAAATTATATTTTTAAAATCGATTCATTTTGTGTCATCTGAGTGTAGCTGTACTATAATGTCTTTAAAAGAATGTGCATAATTTATTATTAAACCTGAAGATAAATTACTGCAAAATCCCATCAAAATGAAAATTTCTGGGAGATTTCATTCAAAAAAAGATTATGTATTGAATTTTGTAGCAAGATTCCATGCCTGTTCTATTTGATTGATTGACCTATACACAACACAGCAATTTTTACCATTTTGGAAGGAATTTTGTCTTCCTTTGAATAAAAGGAAAATAATTAATTGCAGAGCTTTCTTTCTGCAAAATGTATTTCAAAGCAAAAACATTTTGAGAGTGCTGCTAGTTCAGGTTTATTGTATATGCTTTTAAGAAATATATTTTTTTATTTCTGATTCTCTAAATTTTTAAAGAGTATGTGTATTATTGTAATAATGGGTGTGTGTTGGTAATAGTTTGAATAATCTAAAAATGTTTCTGAAATTAGTTAATCACAACTGCCAAGGATGAAGATGGTGGAACTGTAACTCTTGTGACTTCAGAAGATCCTAAAAAAAGAAGGGAAATCCTTGCACGCAGACCATCATATAGGAAAATTCTGAATGAACTTTCTGCTACAGATGCACATGGGGCTACTCTTACTGCTGCCTCTGCTGCAGTGTTGAAGGAAGAGTCATCAGACCATGGAATGACTGATTCTAGTCAAGAACAAGATAGTGGCACTAGTACAATCACTTTAGGTGGTACACAGTATACTACTACTGGTTTATTAAAAGGTATGGTATTTTCTCTTTCTGCTTCGTTATTTATCCATTTAAAATAAGCATATTTGTTACGTTAATTGTATAATATTTTAATGAACATTCTGTCAGTAACCATTCATATTTAGAGATTTCTGTTATTTATCGTGAATGAATTTTTATAGTCACCTGTGTTCTGCTATCTGTACTTATTTGAATGAAATAAGCTGTCAAACTCAAGCTGTTTAGGAATCTGTATAGTTTGTTCGGCATTTCCTTTTTTTAAGCTACTGTTAATTATCCTTGACATGTTCCTTGCATTACATCAAGGAAAGGATTTATGTCTGATACAGTTTACATGTAATAAACTTTATGCAAACTTTATAATCTGAAATGTTAACTGTGTAATAACTAATGAGTATTCATAGAACTTTGACAAAGATTTTCTACAGTAAATCTGCAATATTAAAGTTTCATTAGTTTGATATTACTTATCATGCTAATAGTTTTTTTTTTTTTTTTTTTTTTTTTTTTATGGAGTTGAATTCCTTTACAAACTTTGACCTATGTCAGTGACACTGATCATCAACTGACACAAAACATGATGTTAAGATTTTAATAACCCTTGTTCCTTTTGCTTCTGACATTAGATTTTAAGAAATGTGTTTGTACCATATCAATTAGAATAACTTTTCAAATGTAAGTAGCGATCAATTTTATGACTACTAGACCATTTCACTGTACTTTTAGTAAAAATTAGTTTAAATGAATGGGAAAGAAAAATAAACAAGTTATCTATATAGCATTCAGAATGCTTTTCTGAAAGTAATTTTCTAAAAATATTGTTTATTTGTATTATTTTCTCAATAATATAAGGTTTTATTTTTCTGTGCAGCTATTCAGTTAGCTAATGCTGCCACACAAGATAGTGGAATTCAAGGCTTACAAACTCTAACTATGACAAATACTGGTAGTGGGACAGCTAGTGCTATTGTACAGTATACTCAGGGGCAAGATGGACAGTTTTTTGTTCCAGGTAAGTGTTATGTGTTTAATTTATTATTAGTTTTTTCATATAAAAAGGTTAATTTTTTTCATTGTAAAAATAGCACAAAACTATCAACTTACGTATTAAAAAATTCTTTTTATGCTTTTATTTTTAGGTTTCATTTTGAAAATTATTATGGGCTAAAATTAAGCAAATGTAGATATTTTCTTTCAATATTACACTATTTTAATTTCATAAAAGCATTCAGCTTAATTCTTGTTATATATTCAAACTTAATCCCCCCCCCCCAATTTAGCTCTGCATTATTTTCTGACATTGATCCAAAGCTTTAAGGATGATAAAATTAGCATCTTTTATACACAGTTTTTATACAATTGAATATTTTAAAGTTAACCTCAAAATAATTATCTGTTGGAGCATTTTTCCAAAATGACCAAGAAATTAAGATTCAAATTAATATAATGCTAATAATTTTGCTTGATTTCTTTGAGTGTGGAGTTAATGAAATTAATTGAAAAATGTTTCAAACATATTAAAAAATATATTTTGCATATAGTTGCCTTATTGTTTTGATCATTTTGTTAAATTTCATCAGAGATATGCTGAAGAATATATATTACATATTTCTAATATTAAATTATAAAGACTGAGTCATAATTTTGTATTTATTGTACAGGGTGGTTATAATTAAAGTTCCACTTTCAAATGGTCATAAAAGGAAAACTACTGGACTAAATATTATCAGACTTGGTAATCGTGTGAAAGAGGTCAAATAAAAAGGTAAAAAACTCACTACCAGCAGGGAAATGGCACTGTATGCAATATTTTTAAACAAACTAAGGGTCGAAATGTAACTTAACCTATTGTTACACAGATTAACATGTTGTTTACCCGTAAGAAACATTGACCTAAACAAAATTACTATTTAAAGGTGATAAATGTCGAATACACCATCAGTGCAATGGAGAAATTCGTCTGTGAAAACCGCAAATTAGCAATTAGAAAATGTGAGATAGCAAATCATTTGCAAAAGCGTGCGCATTCCGGAAATTGTGTTCTTACAGATCTCTAATTTGGGATTTTTGAAGCCTGAATTCAGCCTTAAGACATGAAGATATCGGTTTAAAATGTTTTTAATTGTTTCTAAAACAGAACTGTTTGTGGGGTGAGGCAAAACCGCAATGGCTAGTAATTGGCTTACTGCAAGAAGAAGCAAATGATTTATGCAAATTATCTAAACAATTTGGCGTAATTGAAAGATGCAATACACCAACATGTCCGTAACATTCCTCCTGATATGCTAAGAGTTGCTGTTGAGAATGCAGTAATACAATTTAACTTGCTATCGGAAATTGATGGACGAGACATTGAACATGCTTTGTAACATGTTTCAGAACCAATTAAACACATTTTAAACTGATGTCTTCATGTCTTAGTTTGTTTAACAATATCGCATACATTGCCATTTCACCCTGGTGGTAAATTTTTTAACTTTTTTTTCATGGAAAATAAATTCCCATGACCTCCTTTACAAGGTTACCAAGTATAACATTTAATCCAGCAGTTACCATTTATGACCATTTCAAAGTGGTACTTTAATTATAACCACCCTGTATACATATATGTATATATAGGTATGATATATAGGAGGCCATGAAAAAATCTTTTGTTTGTGTGTGTAGAACTTTTTAACATTTCAGAATACATGCAACAGATAGAGGAAACTGCCGAAAATGTATAAAAGCTGAAACAAAAAATAAGTTACTCCCTTTGTTTTTAATTTTTAAGTGCATCTTAAATTTAAATGCAAGGATTTTATTTTGTATTTATTTTAAGGAGCTATGAAGTAAAACATCATGCATAATGCAAGTTCATGCTAATAGATATCGTAATGAATGACATTTCGGGTAAAATAGTTACTCTTGCAGCACACTTAATTTTAGTGATCAATAAATTAATTTTTATTGTTTAACTGAATGATTAGTAAATTATGTTAGAAAATTCATCAATGTTAAAACATCAGAAAAATGATGTTTGTTGGTATAAGCACATGTATGAAGAATGTTTTTTCTCTCTTGTGAACGTTTGTTAAGTTTGCTATATTTATAAGTTGCACTGATTGTGATTATGAATTTGATCATGTCTTTTTTATGGATTTTTCTCTGTACATAAGATTTAACATAACACATAATACTTTAAAAGCACACTGAAGTTTAAGCTGGTTTCCGCCCTTGGCAATCTTTTGGTGTATCTATTTTCTTATCTACTGATGGATAAATGAATTTTAGATATCATTGCATAATATGTTAAAAGTATATTTTTTTTAAACTTCAATATTTTTTTTATTTCAGTGACAGTATCTGCCGCTGATCTTCAAGCAGCATATCAGCTTCGAGCTGGGGCTTCTACACCAACAGGATTGACTCAAAATGTGGTCTCAAACATCCAGACTATCCAGAATCCTCAGCAGTTAGCAGAAGAAGCTTCTCGTAAAAGGGAGCTAAGGCTTTTAAAAAACAGGTATCAAAAGAAATGATATATTAAGTTTTATCTGGAAAACCTACCAAGCATAGAACTACTCTAAAATTTAACCTTAGATAAATGTTTTTATTAAATGATCTACATATTTCAAAAAATCTGTCTTCTTCAATTAACAGAATACTTTTGCTGTTGAGAGAGAATATTACTCCAGCAACCAGCATCTGTATCAAATTGCATCTAATAGTGCATAGATTATTAAGAATAAGAATTAAGATCATTGCCTTTGTAGGGTTTAATTTTGTGTAATTTTATTGTTATTTTCTTTATTTTACTGAAATGAATCTTAATTTTGTAAGATTGTGCAATTATGTTTGTGGTGCTGTAATTAAAATGCTTTATGATTTTAGAAGGTCAAACATTTTTTAGTCAAGAACAGCTGTTGTCACTTCAGCATTAGTAATTAAATCAGTTAAAATATCTAAGTAAGATGTATATTTTAGTTAAATTATGTTTAATTTGTAATATTTCACAAAAATTATTATTTTATTTTGCATAATAATATGTTAAATCATTAAATTATAGAATGGAGATAGATGATTGAAATTTTATGAAACTTTTTTCTAATTTTGGCAACATAGTATTCATATTTTCATGAACATATACACACTGAGAAAAAAAGTAGTCAGTAGCATTTTCATTATATTCTTTAATTTCATTTTCTCCTCATATTAAAAAAGTCTTTGGATTGTTTAGAGCTGTAAATTTTTATGCTGATCTCATATTTGTTATTTATGTAATTTGAACAGTTTCTTTAATATTTGCTGCATGTAATTTTTCATTGAAATGTGTTTTAACTACTATTCATATATCAACTAAGTTAGCTGCAGCACGTAAGGTATTGTAAAATTTATGGACTAACCTTTGTCTTGGTTCTAATGATTTCTGTCTGTGCTCTAGCCATTCTGCATAGTATTTGGTTTGCAAAAACTCTAGAATTTTTTGGATTGCCATTTCTTATAGGAATGACTAAATATTTTATAATTCTTTCACTAATACTGATGATGTGATGAAATTATCAACTATTACATTGTGTCCAATGTTTTATGTGGTTCCATAAATTTTAATCTGTTGTGCTCTGCCTGTTTTTATTCTTCAGGTTGATGTTTAGTTTTTCTCTATGAGCAGAAGCATCAAAATAGAAATTTAATGTTTAAATCAGCCATTAACCTGAATTTTTTTTTCAGGCGCTAGCCATTTTAGGCTTTTGCCACTACTTACCAAGGCCAGAAATGGTGATCATTTTATTATGGAGGCACTGTATGGGTGGCCACCATTACATCCCATGGAGAGGCAGGCAATTTTATATCCTGTTCTCTGGGATTCGAAACCAGGCCTTTTGAGTACAGCAGTTAGAATCAACAACTTTCCCATTGAGATGATATAAACAGAAGATGAGCATTGCATTTTTCTGTGAAGCAATTGCAAAACATTTTCCATGAAACAATTAAAAGAAAAAAACTATTATTTTGCAACTGTAAATAGGCCTGCACCATTTATATTGAGAAGGATAAAAGGTAACTTATACCAAGCAGCCAAACTGCAACTCTCAGGCCTTGCAACTGTGCCTTACAAGCCAGATGAGGCTGTTTGGCTCCTTAAATATAACTTGCCTGAAACAGGTAGTCTTAGTGCAGTTTTCTGCAAAACTTTTGCAACCACTCGCAATAATATTCTTCCATCACGTTTTTTCCAGCTGGAACTTTATCTTTCATAATAATGATAAGTAAGTGATGATATTTACCTATAATTAACAAGGAATCATTTCATAATGATTCCTTGTTAATTATAGACAGTTTTCATCTGTGATTCTGGAGTTGTGGACTTTTTCACCAGATTTATTTCAATTTCAGTTCTGGTGCAGATTTTGTAATCCACATTTCATGAGATTATTCAGAACGGAAAATTTTTTTTTCATAATCTTGGTTCTCTGAAAGCCTTCCAATAAGAAAAAGAAAATGTCCTTTAATGAAACTTTGTTAAAAATCTTCATTTAATAAAAGCCAAATATGTTTTTTTTTAAATACAGTACTTATTAGAATATATTAGAATTATTAGAATGCAAATATAATTCATTATATGAAATGTATAATTAAAGGCTTGAATTTTGAAGTTCGTTTTCTCAAAATAGTTTGATAAAAATATTTAAGTAGCAGCTTAAATTTCAGTTAACAGTTCAAAGTAGCCAGTAGCTATGTCCAAAATACTTTGACTGGTACACATGTTCATTTTGCAGCATTTATATGCCATGGTACGAGTTGTAAAAAAACATTCAAGACCAATTTGTAATAAATTATCAATGTTCATAATTGTCGAGATGGTTCAAGAGTTGGTTTTGAGAAACTGCATGGCATCATTACTTGAGGATTCTGACAGATTTCATGTTTTATTGAAACTAAAGTGACATTCAGAGTCATCAATTAGATGATTTTTTGCAATTAATTTCTGAAATTGCAACAATTGCATTCTTTTTTTTTAGTGAATGCTTGTACTGAGCATGAATGAAACTGATCCTTCTGAAGTTTCAAGTAAAAATGTCTGGCAATTTGTTGTAGGATTCAAAAAATTAACAGTAATTAAAAAAAAATGGTAAAATTCAAGTTTTGAAATGGGTTTGAGTATGTTGGTGCTTGGTTGGGTTAGTAGGGGTAAGATAATAATAAAAATTATGCAAAATCTTGAAAAAGTGGACATTTTATTTTAGAAATATTTTTCTTTCTTTATTAACTTATATATTAGCCATTTTTCTTAAAAAATGCTTCACAAAAGCATTCCTCTCGCTAGGCAGATAGCTCTTATGTGCTTTGACAAATAGCAATCCAATTAGTAATGAACCTTTCCCAAGTTGTAATTCTCCATAGCTTTTACAAATGAAAACCTTTTATAGTAATGATCTCTCACAAAACATTACAATTTCCTTTTCTTTGTTTCTTTAATTTCAGCTTTCTTCTGCTAAAAGCAGTCAGCAATATTTGAAAGGGGTAATAGGAAGGAGAAAATGCTTGGTGTTTTTCTTTGAAAAGAAGTTTATTATTTCCACTATGTAAATAGTCAAAATTACCTGAATACAGAGCAAAAGAAACAAAAGTTCTCATTTAAATTTATATGCACCCACAATAATTGCATTAATCTTTTCAAGATGGCACACATTTGCCTGAGGCCCTCCCTTGGGAATTGAAAAGAATTATCTCACATGATGTGGGTTTTGTGTCACTAAGCCTAACTTTAGGGGTGGGGAATTTTTTTTATTTAAAGTTCAAGTTCTAATGTCATAACTTTTATGTTACATGAATATATATATATATATAAGATTGCTCACTTTGAGAAATAATTCTTGGAAGTGTTAGTCAAATTAGTCTGAAATTTTAATTGGTAAAATACATTAATAAACTTTAAAATTAATTTAAAAATACAAGAAAGACTATTTACAAGAAGAGGTAACAAAACCTTTCATGGCAAGTGGAAGGTAGGCACTTAGTGAACTCATTGTCTGATAAATGTCTGAATCAGAATCACTAGAAATATTGCTCTCCAACTCTTTTAGAAAATGAATCATCATTTTCTTCCATGTCACTAATGGGCTCGTTTACCATGCGAGTAGTATATCCTTTCCTTGATGAATAATAATGCTTACTTGCTCCGCATAATAAATCGAAGTCAAAATAAAAAGAGAAGTACGCGAAATATAAGCAAGGCAGCGTGAAGCAATAAAAACAACACAAAGTGTAACAGACTGTCCCACATAGTAACCCTAAAAGGCCCTACATAGCAGGAGAAGAGAGAAAAAAAAAAAAAAAAAAAGAGTGCAAAAAGGATTCAAAGAGATATCAGCAAGAAGAATGTTTATATCACATGGCCAGTTAAAGAGCCGAGCTCTGTTACTTCACATTGTGCTTTTCCTTCACCCCCTTCCCACAACAGCCGACACCAAAGTTAGGCAGAATGTGATCAAATTGAAGGTCAGAATCCTAAAACTATGTTTAGTTCAAAGATAATGGATGCCACCTAGTAGTCTTCAAAAAAATGGTTCAGCTTAAAATGCACATATGCATAACCTGTCTTTCTCCAGTGCTGCATGGGTGAGACATCCAGCTATGAGAGACATTTGTAGGAAATGCATATATGGGATGCCCTATCAGAGAGAGTTAAAAATGGAAAATTCTCATTAAATTACTTCAAACATTCCTTTTCATGGAAATCTATTTCATTTCTTTTAAAATGTTGTTAATACAATATTATCTAGTAGTGAATTGAGTTACAGCTAGCAAAATTTAATGAATCATTTAATGCAGCCTCTACTGACTTGGCTACCACTGTTAAAGAAAGGCAAATTCAGTGTAACATTGAAATATTTATTCACCTAATCAAAAAAACAGAAGTGTGTTCTGTTGATTCTGGGAAGTATCTGGCCAACATCAGTGGAATTGGCTATGAGATAAATTTAAAATTAAATTACACAGTAAAAATTTTTCTTTTGAACTCTTAATTAATGTAAATTGTTTAAAAATCATACAAAACCATTAATATCTAAAAAAAAAAAAAGTGTGAATGTCTCAACATGATAAAAACATGTTTCAATGTCAAAGTGTTTATCACTTTGTACCCATGCTCTAGAGTTAAAATAATTGTAACAGCTTTATGGTGATATTTCTGTTTATACATATGATAGTAATGCATCATTGTGTCTGTGTTAAAATCCGTGAATTCAGTTATTATTAGAAAGATCTTTTTGAAAATAAGTTATAAGATTGATAAACTGAAAATCTTCAGTCAGATTGTATGTGCTGAATTAAAAAATAAAAAATTTTATTAGCCATATTATGTTAATGTTTCCTGTATATAAGAGTAATGAATGTAGTTTTAAATCATACACATGTTAAAAATAATACAGCAGATTGAAAGATTACCAACCTCAAATTTGCATAGGCACTTGGAAAGCTATTGGCAACAGGTTTTCTCAACTGTTTAATACTCATACAAATAAGGTGGCAAATATTTGATATCTTTATTTTATATCATTTATAAATTAATGTTAACACAGCTAAATATTTTGGAAAGCATATAAGGGGTTCAGCCATATATCTAGTGTACTGAATTTGAATTTGAATTAATATGTTTATATAATTTATTAAAAATTTTATAAATAATGTAAGATGTTGATTGTTATAGGGAAGCAGCCAAAGAATGTCGAAGGAAGAAAAAAGAGTACATCAAATGCTTAGAGAACCGAGTAGCTGTGCTTGAAAACCAAAATAAAGCTTTAATTGAGGAACTGAAGTCATTGAAAGAACTCTATTGCCAAAAGAACGATTGACAGCTGAACAGTTAATTCCATCTTGAGCAACCCAGTTTTCATATATGCAAAAAAGAAAAAAAGGCCACTGCATGCCTTTCTTGATGCATTAAACAGCAAGATCTGAGCAGATTATATTTGGTGCCAAATAAGAAAGTTCAAATTTTAAGTTGGAAAGTGACAAATTTTTTTTTTTATATGCCATAAATTATTCAATGCACATGGTTCATTTATTTTCATTAAATTTCAATTTAATAAAAACTGAAGATGTACTTTTCATTTGAAATCCAATCCAATATTTTTAATATGATTAATGCATTTAATTTTCACTTCAAATTGTTATTGCTAATGTGTGCTGTTAAAAATGAAAGAGAAGTGTATATTTTTGCATATGCTAAATGAACCTGAAAGACATGGGCATGTATGTAACTGGCAGTTTGGGATTTAACTGGGCTTTCTTTTTTGTGGTAATAGAAGATATGAAGACATGTGTACATATTTTACATTTTGACTAACATGTAATTTTTGTACATGAAAAGAATTATTTTTCTTGCCATAAACAAATGTAATATTTTAAACATGGAAGTAGCATATATATTGAATACATTGTTTGTTTAGATATTTTAAAAACTGTTTGATTAAGACTGCATAATCCTTATAGTGTGATTTATGTTTGGAACCAGACTGTTTGTGATATTCCTAATATATGGAAAAGTACTGTATTTGTAAAGCTGCTGACTTTTTTTTGGTTGCATAATCTTGTATTTAAATAGACAGTTCTTTTCATGTCTGTTTTTATACTTCTGAGAGCATTTTGTAAAATTTCACTCATAATGTTGTTATTTTTGCCATTTGATTATTATGCTTTCTTAATTTCCATTAAATATGATGTTTAACTTTTTGGATTTCAAAGATTGATTTCTTTCTTTCTTGTGTAAATATGTTTTCAGTTCAATTTCCTGCTTTTTAACAGGTGTATACCCATACTTTATCATAAATTTTGGCTGTATAGCTTAGAAAGATACTGAATTTTATATTCTCTGTTAATTTCGTTTGTTAGTGTTCATTATACTTTTTATAAATTTAAATATTTATGCTTAGCATTTTATTGCATTTAAAAAAACTTAAAATAATTGCAAAATTAAGATTAGTATTACTAATTATAGAATGAATTTTGATAAAGTAATATGCCATCTTGAGTAAACTAGAAAAATCATCAAGTCCTTAACCCCTTTTTTAAATCTGTATTAAAACTATTTGAAGTTACCACTAACTGGTTGTCCTTTGTGTTTTGATTAACACATTTTTGTTGATCTTAATTTAAAAAATGGTTGTGTCTGTAAGGTAAGAGAGCATTCAAACATTTAAAATTATCTGTACTTCTAAAGTGGAAAATTTATTATACTTATATGCTATTTTGCAATATCTTGGTACAACTAGTATAAAAAAATTATTAAATGTGTTATGATTTTAAAAAAGGAAACACAATATGCGATTAGAATTGGTTATGAATTAATGGGTATGCACCTTTTCTAAGTATTTGGTACTTAACTTCCAGACATCTCTCTTTTGTATATTTTTATGACACATTTATAGTTACTTTCATATGCAAAGTATTTCATTATTTTTTTACTGTTTTCGACAATATCTTTTTTTTTTTTATTAAGTATTTCTCTAACAGCAGGATGTCCATAAGCATGCAAAAAAGTATATCATGGTAGAAATAAAATGTATTGTGGTTTTCACACCAAAACTTCATTTCCGAGTTTAATGTATTCACGATGGCAGTTTTTCTGCACTTTTTTTTGTTTGTATGAAAGATAGCATCATTACTGTTGTTGTTCACATTTTAAAGTATTTTGTACATAGTTGAAATATTTGCATATGGACATCCTGCTACAGAGATTTATTTATTTGTTATAATAAACTGTATATATCCATAATATTTGTATAACTTTGTCTTAGAATGTATCATAGCATTTAATTGCTTGTCAGTCTTATTAGACAAGAAAAGCACTCATCGTGAGTATACTTGACTTGGAAATGCAAGTGTGAGAACCACAATGCAGATTATTTCTACCACTTGATGTTTAATTTTTTATTGTCTTTGGGTAAATACCATGTTTCTTGAAATAGTGGCAAGCTTTGTTAAATGTATTTTTAAAGGCCTTGCGTATTTACATCTTTGTATGAGTATTACTACGGTTTAAATTTGCCTGTATGCTAGAAATAAAATGGTAAACTTTGTACTTTACTTGTCTGCAATCCCTTGCCTAGAATCAGGCTCTTCTTTCTTTATTAACAATATTACAAGAATTTTCATTTCCGTGCATTCCTTAGCAGTTTCCCATTTCAGAATAATTTTGTATTAATAAACTAGGGATGGTTAATTTTTTTCATTATTTAAATAACTACTCTAAACAGCTTTAAAATATAAATATTTATTACAACTTTCATTTCAAATTGATTTTCAACTTTTTAAATTGTTTGATTAGATGAAAAAATGATCTATGATTTGTATTTTTGAAACATAAAATATGCAATCATTTTAAAAATATTACATGTCCTATACTTGTAAATTTTATGAGTGGTAAATCAAAATGTATTGTTGTCAGTTGTCTTAATGCATTAACTTCATGATTTACTTGTAATGAAAATGTTTTTTTTTTTTTTTTTCATGCATTTAAAACTTTTCACAGAATACTTGTAATTAGTTTATTACTGGAATAAAATGTACATTATTGCTTTAATTTTATTTAAAAGCTCTGTGCAAAATACTAATGTTTGTAGAACAATCATAAATTCCATGTGAAGGAAAAATTTCTCTTATTCATGAATTAGGAATTTAAAAAAATATTTATTTGATCATAATTTGCATGCAAATTCAAGTAATTTAATTTTTAGCTTGGCAAGAAAAGGTTCTGTATTCTTTTATTGAAAAATACGAAGTGTTAAATGATGAAAATAAATCTGATGTTATAAATTTGAAGGTATTATTATACATACTGAAAAGAATATTGTGTGAATTTCTAGAGCCTTTTTTCACTATTCTACCACCGTTCTGTTAAGCTGGAATATATAAATTTTGACGGCCATATTTATTTTTCCCAGTTATTTATGAATATATGAAACAAAATGTATTCATTTTGATATTAGCAATTTTCACTGTGTTATTACTTATTCCAAATCTAAATTTTTCCTTTTAAAATTAAATAGCTCTAGATACACATCTAAAACTGAATATTCTCCATCCCTTTAGTAAACTCTCTTATTAATAAACTGGATATTAAAAGAGCTACTTATATAAATATAGAAGCTACTGTAAAATTATATATTATAATAATTTAGTTTTGTCATTACATGCGAACAGTTCTAAGGTATTTGCTCAATATCAGTGCTTTAAATATTTGCCATAATATTTCAAAAAAGTCTCAGCATTCCGTAGAAAATATTTTGCAGATCAGATGTAAATTTATATTGTACACTTTTATAATTTTTCATCATGATAAATGCAGATTTTTCTTGGTAATATTCAAAAGAAAAGTAAATTATCTCAGACATACATATCTTCAGTATATGAAATGACATGAAGAATGTCTTTGATACTGAGATTTAAAATACATGTTTTAGTTAACTGTATTTAATTAAATAATAGTGACTGTTACAAATGAAATTCAGTTTCATCTTTTGTTCCTGATGCTGTATTTTTCTATTATAAGTTGTTGCACTTTATAAAAAATTTGAATAATTTAGTCCTGGACTTGCTCAACAAGATAAGTTTGCAGATTTGAACATTTATTATTATTGTGAATATTGTATAATAAGTGAATTTGAATAAATAACTTAATGGTTGATAAGGTATTCCCTGTCTTCTTTCCTGATCTGTATTTATGCAGTTACAAACAGGGCTGTGGGGTCGAGCAGATTTGGGGGTAAAAGGAGTCTGAGCTGGAGTCGCTAAAAACGGGACGACTCCGACTCAAGTTTTTGTTGGACAGTTTGAATTTGAAATGAATTGAAAAAAATTAATGACAAGCTGAGTTAATATTTTTATGAACTATATACATTAATAAATAGTTATTTTCTATTTTATTGACATAATAATAAATAAATATAAGGGAGAAGGATAAAAGTGATATTTGTCATTAGTGATTAAACTGACTCATTTAGTTACAAATCTCACTGGTAAATTTAGGTAAGTAGCATTAGCAGCAAGAACTCCCAAAATTGATGCCGTTTTTAGGAAGCGAGCAGGAAAAGGAACAATTATTGATCAAGCAACGCGATAAGGAAATACATATTTGATGATAGAGTTTTTAGAATTAAGAATGTTTTTAGAAGTAGATAATCCTACTGTTTCACTAACAGAAAGACTGTGGATTGATCTTGCAGAATTGGAAACTCTTCTTTCTACACCATATATAGCCACAAAAAAGCTGCAATCTGAAAAATTGACAGGAGGCGAGAATGGAAGAATGGGATGTTTGTTCTTTCTGAAATGGAGGGTTTATTGCAGAAGGAATCATTTCTTCAATAAAGAAAAGAGAAACTAGATTGCTAGATAATGAGATCTTGCTGGGTTCAATAAATGTAGATCTGAAACACCAAATTTTCTTGGATGATGAACAAATTAAAAAGGCAAAGAAAGCCATCTATGAACTTTCATTAAGAATGAAATTATTCTCAGAACAACTGGAATATTCGAATCAGAACAGTCAAACTGCAGACACTGGATTTGAGTCTCTATCATCCTCTTCTAGTAATGAATTAGATTTTAAGATATAATTTTGGATAATATCAGGTTTTAATTTCTAAAATTAGAAGTAACGAAGCCCTATGAAAGACAGTCAACAAAGAGGAACAGGAGTAAATAAATAAATCAAATGACTATTAAACTCATTAATAATTTTAAAATTAAATAGCTGAGTAGTATAAAATTAATTAATTATAATTTAATTGATAAGAAAATTAATTAACTATTTATTGAAATAATTAAAATTACATTAAATGTAAAGAGAAAGAGATAAATTAAAATTTAATAAGCGATTTTTAATATAATTTTATTGCTAAAAATAAAATTTTCGAGAAAATTTCTACTGATTTTGTTATTCAGTTACATAAATGAAGTGCCGCAGCCTTCTTATTTAGGGCTCTGGTGCGATCCGGCTAGACTTATGATTTATTACCGAAACTAAGAAGCATAGGAGCAAAAATCAGGTGACCTCCGGCCCAATTTAAACTCAGAGCGTAGGGGAAAATCATCACAAAAATTAAATATACTTAAAATATAGGTGATGAAATTTAAGATAATGCTAAAACAGGGCGAAACAGAATGAGGGCGTGAGGGTATGAATGAGTGGGTGGAAACAAAAAATGAGAGGAATCTTGGTGAGAGAACATTCTCTTTGACCGCAGCTCCCTGTTGATATAATTATAGCCATCAAGCTGACGTGTGTCAAGAGGTAAAATGAGTTCTCAATCTGACTCCTAAGGATGAATGTAAAGTTGATGGTTACACTTTCCGCCCCCTCCCCGTATTTGTTTACTGTAGTGGATACTGTGGGAAGACTATGTATAGGACGTGCTTGAGCAGTTTTTCTCAGCATTTCACTCTTATTGTAATCACTGTCACTTAACACACATCTAAGAACACAAATTTTCCTTCGTGCAAGGATAACTATCCATCGATAACAATACACTAGATACGATGGCATGGTAAGAAATTTACACATTCCTAAACAAACTCCCCCAAATTCATTGCCCTTCTTAAAGGGAAAGGTTTCCGCATGTGAGTGAGGGGACTTTACTTGAACGTCTCATGTTCTCATGAGTTCGTATTTCTAGGAAAATAGAGTATTGGAAGAACTAGAGTATTGTTAAACTAAAAAGTTAGGAATTTAAAATTTTTTTCCCTTGAAATCGTGGTTCAGTTTTATAAAAAGAAATACCAGAGCTCATCTTATTTAGGGCTCTGGTTAGAATTGTAAATTATTTTAAAAATTGAGAAGTACCGGAGCCTGGCTCCGGCGCAATTTAAGCACTGGATAATATTGAAAAGGCTAAGGCAAAGCAAATGAAAATAAAGAACCAAGAACCTTTAGATATAAAAATGAAAAAATACAAACAAGATTTCTACACAACCTTTCAAGAAATAGAGAAATAGGATTGTGCTTGCAAGTCACCTCTTTTAGAACTTAGCCTTATTTTAGATCTTATCCTGAAAAGTTAAAAGAAGTAGCCCTAGTAACAGTAACAGCTCTTCCTCCTACTCAAGTTAGTGTGGAAAGACTCTTCTCAGCTCTGAAATTTATCAAATCTATGGGCCTCCAACAAAGAAGATCTTGCGGAAGCTATACTGTTTCTTAGAAATAACCAATGCCAGTTTTTCTATTTCATAATAAATGCTAATTAATATAAATAATTTGCTATGCCATCAATTTTTTTTTCTGTAGCATCTATTACTTCTTTTATATTAAAAAAATAAGCTGTAAACCATGCGTATATGTGTACATATATATATATATATAGGGGGAGTCTGAGTCGATCATTTTCCCTGCCAACTGCACAGCCCTGTTTACAAACGATATATATGGAAAAGATGGCTTCTAAATAAGTTATCTTCCTGTCCATATTATAACATAGTATATTCGATAATGGTATGCACAGTTGCTGTTGTTCTGTGTAATAAACAGCAAAACATCATGGCAATGTTTGTTACAGTTCAGTTTTCTGCTGTAAGATGGCTCATGTAATCTCAGTATGAGAGCAGTAGTGAGTCATAACATGAAGCACAATACAGAAAGCTGTCAATAAGTATGTAAAGTACGTAGTCCGAAATCCAGACATCCAGTTTCCGGAGTGATCCAGTTACCGGAATGATCCAGACTTCCGGACCATCAGCAACTCTTTTTTTTTTTTACTTTTTACAAATTTTTGGAATGCTTAATACTTCACGCAAGCGCGTTTATTATTTTTTCATAATAAAACACGTGGTAGGTGCTGATTTTTAATTTAACTTCGGAGCTAAATAAAACACCTCCATGTTGAAGATAAATAAGTCATTTATTAGCAATGAATCTAATAATTTGGCATCCTAGCCACCTTCTTGCTTGACATATATCTCAAACTGAAACATCGCTGATTTTAACCTACTAAATAACTTCTACCTCTGACGTCAAACTGACAATGATTTTTTATTATTATTTGCTTTCATCCCCGCATACTCATGGCACACTGAGAAATGAATCATGCAGCGATGTCTAAAACTACTTTTTTTTTTTTTTTTTTTCTTTCTTTGGGCATGTGTGTGTTAAATATTAGTAACTGAATACCAAGCCAGCATGGTAACTGTTTATGTTGACTTAACACAGCGACGATTACAGATTACCACCAACTGCGCTGCGAAGTGCTCTCTGTGTCGACCAGAAGAAATTTAACAGAAATTTCTTTCCTTATACAAGGAAAAAAAAAAGGTTCTATAAATGATTTTTGAAGGCCTAAAGATTAAATTTAGCACTGTTTGAATCAAGAATAACCGATTTGTTGTCTAGATGAGTTTTAAGTACATAGTAGTTATATAACTATAATTAAACTTCTCCTATAAATAGCATTCTACAACGCAAACGGGTGAACGGAATGCAGCGAAATTTTGTATATGGGTTATACATGAGATGTGCTTACGGAATTTAAAAAAAAAGAAAAACGTTTCAAAATGTCCACCAGAGGGCGCCTTTTCAGGAAAAACAGGAAATTTAACACAATAAACGACCAAAACGGAATACAGAAACAATATGAAGATTTATTGACTAGTTTCTGATCACCTTTTCATCGAACCACATTGAGTAAAGGTAAGGGAGATACAAAAACAGTTTAGTTTGCAGAAACAAGAACAGATTAGGACGAAATTGCATCAGAGGAGTAGTTGTTAATCCTGCCTAGGACCATGTAGGGAAAGATGCTCCACGTGACCACCCTCATTCACCTGCAAAATTTCAAGTCGATGGACAGTGTGTTCAATAGCAGATCGTAACTGATCAGTTGTGAGGCATCTCACATGAGTCATTCAACATCTCGCACGGAGTTAGATCCGGCGAACGTAGTGGCCATGGATTAGGAGAGGAGCACATTCCTCTATAATGTATTGGAGCAATAGCGCCTTCACGGACCCATGGATATGTGGGGGCGCACCATCCTGCATGAAAATATTCGATGTAAGGACCCAGCTTTGCTGGAGTTGCGGAACAACAATTGTGTGCAGCATGTCATGGTACCAACGGCCCGTAATAGAACATGTGCAGACCCTCGTTCACCAATTTCCTCAAAGGAGAATGGCCCAAGGATGAATGTCACCATGAATCCACCCCAGGCAGTGACCTTTGGAGACTGTAGGGGAATTTCAGTGTGGATCTGTGGATGTTCCATCGCCCAAATGCGGCAATTCTGTGTGTTGACTGTCCCATTGAGGTAGAAATGAGCCTCGTCGCTCCACAGAATATTCCAAGGCCATGACAGATCGACAGTTATTCTGTTGAGAAAACTGACTGCGAATGAGAAACATTGTGGCTTGTCCCTATCAATTAGCTCCTGGCATGGATGATCTTGCATGGGACGGTGCCGTAAGAATGTTTTCAGATGGTGCTGTGAGAATAGCCTGTCTATCTAGAAACCGCACGTGCACTACTGCCTCCAAACTCTGATGTCTGTGACTGTGCGTCAACAGCTGTCTTAACAGCATCAACAAGTACCGATGTGTCACACGTTTACGGCCTCTTCCAGGTTGACCTAATTTCCTCGTCTCTTCAAATCTCTTAATCATGGCCCGGATATCTTTAGTAGACATTGGTCCACGCCGTAG